AAAAAAAAAAAAAAAGTCAGGAGTATATGAAAATATCATTGCAGATGAACTAGCACAACTGAGTAGGGATATATACCTTAAAATACATCCATTCTTTAACAACTTGGCACATTTCCAGAAAAAAAAATAAGATAGAAAGCTCTTCCCCTTTCCCTTCCTGAAAATCCAGTTCGTACAGTGGGGCTATGCAAGGCAGGCATTCATGTATATCTGGGGGATAAGGGCATGGTGGCCTATAGTGGGGTATCTGAGCCTGGAGCATGGTAAGAAAGGTATCTGTTCAAAGGGACAGCCTGGTATGGAATGCAGGCACCACGTATGGCAAGAAGTGTGGCCCGGCATAGTCTATAGGAACTCGAGGAGAATAAGAAGGACATCTGTGCAAAAGCCACAGCAGCAGCCCTGCAAAAGACATTGGAATGGGAGTAGGATGGGGAGGGTGTCCGTGCAAGGGCAGTGGCAGTGGGAGACTGGTTATAGAAGGGCACTGAGTAAATAAGTACCTTTGTTGAGAATGACAGGAGCCGAGTTTCTCACTGTCAGAGAAGGGAGTTACAAACACAGAAAGGGAGAAAACTAATGAACTCTGTAGTTCTGGATTAGAATTGGATGTATCAGTGTAAACGCATAGTTCATAGTATTGCAGATACAGAAATAAATATAGGTATAAATGGATATATACGTGTGTGTGTGTATTATTTCTGTACAAACATATACTTCCTAGCTGTGTCTACTAAGAGGGCCTGGGAGAAGCAATATCCTGAGAGCAATGAGTTTACTTTCTAAATATCATTCTCCACTAAAAGGGACCCTGACTCCTTAGAAAAATGGTAAAAGTGGACTCCATGAGTCCGTACTAATATAAATGGAAACCTTGATGAGAAATGGGATATTTACATAGTCTCAAAGTACCTCCTCACAAAATACTTACTAATTACAAAGGGAAAAAGAATTATTTTACAATAGAAAAGTCTGGCAGTCACCACATTAATCAAGTGATCAAAGTTAATATCACTAACACTAGAAATAGGACAATCTGAAGTCGTGTGCTACTCAGTGGGATACGATAAGAACACAGCATCACTTCTATGATATTCCTGCTCAAGATACAAAACCTAAATCTATTCATGATGAAGCAGCAAATAAACCAGAATCCACAAACACTTGCAAAATAAATGACCTATCATTTTCAAAAGTATCAAGGTCATGAAAGTTAAGGAAAGACTGGGGAATTGTTCCAGACTGATGAAAACTAAAGAGATATGAAATGAAATGCAAAATATTTCACTGGATCCTCTTGCTGTAAAGGACATGATGGGACGGACAACTTGCAAAACTTAAACAGGGTCTGAGGATTAGATGGTAGCAACATATAATAATGTTAACTTCTTGATTTTGATGGTTGTCAGAGAATTTTGGTTTTTTTGGAGACAGAGTCT